CCCCTCGTCTTGAAGTTCTTGTACTATTTGGAGGGCTATGCCTATTTATGAGTATATACATATCCAAATTTAGAACTTTTACCCTGAGCTGGGCTGGAAGCCTGGAAGTTTAGAACCCTATTGTTTTGAAATAGATTTGTCCTCAAATATATTTCAAACCCACCCAAAACCCGTAATAGATTTGTTTTAAGTTCGTCCACGGGCTAAGCCCTTGTGAAAACTGAAACAATCAAGGCCCAAATTTCAAAACCATAGCGTTCTAAATGGAACAAAAGCCCAAAACACGCACGTGATGAAGAATATAATTTTCAAAAATCATAAAATATTAGTTTTTTGTATATAATTTCCTGTGGAACAGACAGGCGTCACTCACGCGTTAGATCACAATCTCCAAAAATAAATATATAATCCAAACACCAACAATTTATAGTAGAGCGTAGGTCCTTGGTACTCCTACTAAAAAGTATAAACGGCATATACACGTTAGTAACTGTCACACACACACACGTAAGCCTAGCTGATACACACACACGTACGTAGCTATCACACGCAAACACACATACACATACACATACACACAGCATGGGCGCAGTCAAAGCAGCCAAGAAGGGCAAAGCCTCTAAGATCAAGGTGGTGGTTGAGGCGCCACCCAGCGACTCGAGCTCGAGTGACTCCTCTGCTGAGGAAAGCTCTAGTGACAGCAGTTCTTCAGATAGTGAGGATGACGACGGTGATGTGAAGATGGACGATGCTAAGACAGCTGAGAAGGCTGATAGCGATAGCGATAGTAGTAGTAGTTCTGATTCAGATTCAGATTCGGGGTCTGACTCGGACTCGAGTGACGAGGAGGTGGTGGAGAAGAAGGAGATGCCTGCGGTAACTAAGGCAACCAAGAAAACCGAGGCAAAGGCGGACATCGGCAGCGGCAGTGATAGTTCAAGCTCAGACTCAAATTCAGACTCAGATGCTGATGCAGATACAAAGACGAAACCGACTACAAAGGCAAAGCAAACCCCTGCGAAGCAGGTTACGAAGAAGGCCTCCTCATCCTCGTCATCATCCAGTAGTTCGTCTAGTTCATCCCCGTCATCGAGCGAAAGTAGCTCGAGCGAAAGTGACAGTGACGGTGACAGCAAGAAGAATTCCAAGACTAAGACGGCTGCACAGGCCAAGGCGACGCCGGCTAAGGCCGCTGTTGTGAAGAAGGACAGCTCCAGCTCTAGTAGCTCAGATGACAGCGACAGTGATACGAGTGATAGTGATGCAGAGGAGGAGAAGCCCGTGGCAAGTAAGCCTGTGGCCAAGAAGGCTGAGGTTAAGGCCAGAACGCCAGCGGGCGATAGCTCAGACTCCAGTAGTTCTAGTGACTCGGGTAGTGGGTCTGATAGTTCCAGTAGCAGTGACAGTGATAGTGATAGTAGTGATTCAGAAGAGACAAAGAAGAAGCCCAGCGCCAAGCGTGCTGCCGAGAGTGCACCTTCTGAGGAACCCAAGCCCAAAAAACAGGTCAAGGTAGACCCCGTGGCGGAGGAGGCTAAACCACCCCTGTCGCTGTTTGTTTCGGGAATCAGCTGGAACACCACCGAAGAGGGCTTTACGCAGTTCTTTGTGGATTATAACATCCCCATTGTGTCCACACGACTCATGTACGAGAGTGATACCGGCCGTATGAAGGGCTATGGGTATGTGGATGTGGTGGATAATAAGGCTAAGGAGATGTGCCTGGCGCTAGAGAAGCCCGAATTAGACGGCCGGTGGCTCAAGTTTGACCCCGCGAACGCACCTAAGGCAGGATATCACCAGGAGCAGAGGTCCAAGCCCTCACCCATCCTGTTTGTGGCCAACATACCGTTCGAGGCGAGTGAGGAGAACATCAGAGAGTTCTTCCAGGATTATGATATCGCCGATGTGCGTATGCCCTGGGACAAGTACAAAGACCAGCCCAAGGGTATCGCCTATGTTGACTTTGGAGACACAGCAACGTAAGAAGACTCTGTGTGTGTTGTGGATTATAGATTTCTGTTGAGTAGTGCATAGTTCGAAGGTTGTGTGTTTGAATAGCGTGGAGGTGCGTAGTCTCTATGTGTAAGCGCTCGTCAAGTGTTCTGTTTGTTATAAGTACATATAGTTTCTGCGCTCAGTGTCTACTACGTATGGCGGTGTACACGTTATCGTACCCGACGATGTCACCTATCGCATTCAACAGCATCTGTTGGCTACTTCCCATCTTGTATTGTATTTCATCTTTGATGAAATACAATATATATGTATGTGTATATATATATATATATATATAGTCATTCAATAGCATCTGCTGGCTACTTCCCGTCTTGTATCGTATCTCATCTTCAATGAAATACAATATATATATATATATATAGTATTTGTTATTATTATGTGGGATTCGCCCAAATATGCATGTCTAAATCGCAACTTGATTTGTGGTGCATTCAAATATCCTATTTTTGGATAGTTGTTGATGATAGTACAAATTGAAGTATGGGTTCGTGGTGCAATCATGCTTACTGGCACTCACACGCTACTCTGAAGGCAATGCCTTTGCATCGTCCTGCTGCGTATGTGTGGTGAGGTGATGTGTTACTGTAAGCCTTCCAATATATAGTGCGAGTAGTGCTTGGAATGTCTTGCTATAGCTGTAGTAAGCACGTGGTATGTCTACGGTTTATAGGATGGGTCTTTTACGTTCGTTTCAGATGCTTTCCGCCTGTAAGGTCCAAGCCCATAGTCCAGAATGTATACTGAATCTATCTGGAGATGACATCAACCCTCAAGCTATGGGATATAAATAACACCAACCAACACGATATATGTGTGTGCGTGCATATAATTATGTACCTATATATGTATATAAATATATAACTGAGGCTTTTCCTCATACCTACCGGTATAATATTATGAAGTTGCGATATATTCGTATGGACTGCGTTATGTTTCGTGCAGATATGTTACAAGCAAAGAGATAAGTTGTTTCCGCACACAAAAAACTCATATTCCCACACGTAGCTATATCTGAATATATTTGTCTAACGTTACACTCCACACACAAACCCAACCACAGGGCAACTTCGGCCATAGAAGCGCTTTCCGGGGTGCGCTGCCTGTCCCGTTGTCTTAAACTGGACTTTGCCCAGCCCAGAAACGATGCCGGAGGGCCACCTCGAGGTGGTTCATTTGGTGGAGACAGGGGTGGTTTTGGCGGCAGAGGGGGCCGGGGTGGTGGTTTCGGCGGGAGCAGAGGCGGTCGGGGTGGTGGTGCTGCGTTCTCTGGTAGAAAACAGCTGTTCTAAAAATAGATTGTAAGACCGGGCCGAGGCGCTGGGGTTCGCAACAGGGGGTGGCGGTGCTGGATATTCCGGTAGGAAAACAGCTGTGCTAAAAATAGTGTGCGTGTGTCGCCGGGACGATGTGTGTGGCACTGCGTTTTGGATTGCTCAACACTCGTTCTGTGGTGTACATGTCTCTGAAGAAGAAGAAAACAAACCGAGTGATGTAGTGATTCTGTATAGAGTATAGCACACACTCTGAAGTATTTGGCAATGGTTCTGGAGTGTGGGGCAGCTTGGTATAAGTTGTTCAATTCTTCCAGTGCAGTCGCATGCTCGGCATTAAATTTGAGGACTGGACCAAGTGTCGTGAGAGGGGTTTTGGGGTAAGGTAGAAGAAGAGAGAAATGGGGTGTATTTAGATGGCCAACAAGCCGTAGTAATGTATATAAAAGATGAAACCATACTATTAACAAGCCGTATTTATGTTTATAAAATATGAAAGCATGCTATTAACAAGCCGAAATATTATATATATAATATGAAACCATACTATAATGATCTTGTTGTGCTTCGTGTAGTCTCAGGAGGAGAGGTTAAAAGGTGATTAAGTTCTATAAAAAAGTACATGGACCCTGTTGCTATTTTCTCATGTATGATGTGAGATAAATACAGGCAACGAACAACCCGTTGTAATGTATATAAATGATGAAAACATACCATGTGGTTTTAAGAGGGGATTCAAAGGTGTGTGCGAGTCTAAGTTCGGGTATATACTTGATTTATATATATCGCATATGAATTGGGGTTTGTTTAGCTGTCAACAAAAGCTGTACCTAATTTGGGTGTATTGGGGTAGCGAACCATTCCTGGATATCGTCACGGACTGGGTCAATGACAATTATACGTTCAGATTCACATGTGAATTCAAGCGGGAATATGTCGTAATTGTATGGATATATACTTATTGACAAGACTTGATTATACATGTACCTTGATATGGCGAATGAATACTATACTGTGAGAATGCTACGTATTTAATTAGGAATGAGTCAAGATTGTATGGATATGTACTTATTGGTGGAGGGTTCAGTTATTAGATAGTGAACAAGACTTATTTATACATGCAACTTGATATGGCAAATGTATACTATACTGTGAGAATGTCATGTGCGGTTTGGGTCTGCCTGTGGGTGCTAAACGAGTCGGCTATGTGCGTAAAATGAAATTGAACAATCGAGGATATCGTTTACGACGTCACTTAATAATCAATAGAAATCAATAGACAGTTCTCGAGATTCAATGCTAATAGGTATGGGTTAAAATTGTCTGCGGTATCTCATTATTATTCGATTGACAAATAACTAAATGTATATAACGATGATATATCATTCATTGTATACGTATGTATAGGTTTTATTCGGTCTCTCAAAATATGTATATTAATGTATATTTAGATTACTACGTCAATCAGTCAAAGTATATATTCTTATTGCAACGAGGGATCATCTGGTTCGCTACCTTGTAGAGCTGCACAACTTGAACAACATTGAGATTTATTTTTTTACTGTTAATTAGATGTGCTCGTGTTATATAATTGTTTGTACACTATGTATTTGGTGTAGTTTATCCGTTGACTTTTTTCAGGGGCGTTTGTTACTAGTAGCTTCCGGCGCTCCCTTCTCTAGTCAACTATTTATTTCCAGATACTTCCATACAGGGAAATAATTCCAGAGAATCTCTTTTAGTAAACTAATTTTTTTCTTGAAGAATCTCTTACAGCCAACTAATTTTTTTTTGAAATCTTTTAAAGATAACTAATTTTTATTTCTGGAATACCATGTAGCTAATCAATTATTTCTAGAGAGACTAGTAGACAACTAGTTTTTTTCTTCTTTTGAAGTCGCTTGGAACCAACTATTTGTTTCCTAAAAACCCCTTATATCACACTAATTCTCAAGAGAATTTCTTATCGCCAACTCATTATTCCTTAAAATCCTTCATAGCCTACAAATTTTTTCTCCAGAAATTCCCTTGGGCCTTTTAATATCTTTCCAGAAATGCCCTACACCCCCCACCTCAGATCTCGGAATAGGTACATGGTACATACGGGACATGCTTTGTTTCCGTTACATTAGAAGCCCACTATCTACCACATTAGTTGTGCACGTTTTATACAATCAGTCTCTCTTTCAATTCAGCAGCTTTCCATTCATATAATGCCGTCGTTCTGCGTACCACAGTAACCGGATCCGTGATAATCCGTTGACACGTTTTTCGTTTGCGTAATAGATAGTGGATGTTCGCGATATATGTGTCCGTATCGTGTGCGAAGAATGCTTCCTCCCAGCTGTAAGTCAGACCGACAACGACGGGCACGATATCAGCCGTACACCCGGCAGGGTTTAGGATTTTAAACACATACATACAGCAGGGTTTTAAGATTTTAATTTCTTGTTTACAGCCGGGTTTCAGGGTTTCCACTCTGCTGTACAACAGGGTTATATGGTTTTTGTAACCGTTACATTCAGTAGGGTTTTAAGTCTTGAGCAGATGCTGCCCATCCTATTCAAGTGTGTGCTTCGTTCTGGACTTAACTAAGCTCATCGTTGGAAGTCTTTGGGCCGTGGCATCTCATACGGACCGTAATCCCTCACACCAGTGTAATATCAAACACTACTAGAGGCTTAACGGCCCTAGTGTTGATTTAAACCGTCCCAGCAAAGGCTTGACCCGCCGCAGCAAACACTTCAACGCACCTCGTATAGGCTGCATAGGACTGTTGTGTCTAGTACAAGCCTATACTATCTCATGGTAAGAGCTTAATATCCACAAGAATAATAATAATGGCGACGTGAGAATTCGGATTGTCATAAGCGTCAACCCTGCCAAACATGAACGCTATATAATGATCGGATTGTTTATCATAGAACCTCTGGAGGAAAGCTTATTCCCTCACAACAAAAGCTTATTCCCACACAGTAAATGATTAATATCTCACAGTAATGGCTGTGTAGGTCTATTATATCGGCTGAACTTCGTGATGATCCGGGGCGTCATTAACGCCAACCCCACCAGACACAGACGTAGCAGAGTGCTCGGATCTTTGATCATATCGCTCGGGTTTCTGAGATTAGTCGCCATGGTGCCTGCTTCGACACAGATGAAATTGTACGGTAACAGCCCTATGAGGTGTACAGTGTGAGAGTATCGAATCAGTTGCTGAGTACGAAGTATGTTATGCGAGAGTGTCGCAGTAGTATTTATTATGATATTATCGAAATAGTTCATAGTGAACTGTATGTATTGCAAGGTTGTAGCATGGGTCTAATTCGCAGGAAGACACAATTGTACAGCTGCGTGCGTGCAACAGAGAGTGAGAATGAGTGAGTGAGTGAGTGAGATGTGCAACGGTGTGATTGTTCTGCGAATCTCCCCTGAAACTATTGACTTTGGGCTTGGGAGATATGGTATATTGGTCTTTACCGTACCCTGGTACCCGTAAAAAAGAACATATATTGATACAGAACCAAACTCAGGGTTCTTGGGTTTGAGGTGTTTTAGAGTTTAGGGTTTAGCGCTTAGCGTTTTAGAGCTTGTCTGTATAACGACACACATCATAATACAGCTTATATTTACCTATGAACACGGTGGAGGCGAAGATATGCAGTGGTACGGCAAGGTGCGGTAGGCAAAGGTTCAGGGCCCAATTGGGAGTGAATGGGATTACCCGCAATGCCAGCAGATCTAAAAATAGAACTTTGGAGCTCTGTGTATGCACCTTGTCCTTGAGGTAGCGAATCCTGGGGAGGAAGAACCAGGCGTGAGTTACAGACACATTCGAGGTAGATATGATACAAGATATACCTACATTAACAACCACCATCCAATACGATGGAACGTAGATACGGCGCACAGTACAAGCCAGATTACTATACAGAGCCAGGCAACGGGCATTCACTGGTGCCCAATCATACACACACCCGAATGGAAGAGAATCTATACGACACAAGAGATATTCGGTGTAGCTATGATACACCACACACTTGCAATCCTTTTTAATACTCAACCCTACACCTTGATATATGGACATCGCTCGCAGGCAAGTGATCTTACCAGTTAGACTATCTACCAAAGCCAAGAGATGGATACATGCTACATACCACCCACTATACCATGCACTTCAATGGCAATCATAGGGCACGCAAGCATGAAATGAGCCTACATCTGTATATCAATCTGAGCTTACATCTGTATATTAATCTGAGCTTACATCTGTATATTAATCTGAGCTTGCATCTGTATATTATTCTGAGCTTGCATCTGTATATTAGTCTGAGCTTACATATGTATATCAATCTGAGCTTACATCTGTATATTAATCTGCGCTCACATCTGTATATTAATCCCAGCTTACATCTGTATATTAATCTGGGCTTACATCTGTATATTAATCTGAACTTACATCTATATATTAATCTCAGCTTACATCTGTATATTAATGCCAGCTTACATCGGTATATTAATCTGAGCTTACATCTGTATATTAATCTGAGCTTGCATCTGTATATCAATCTGAGCTTAAATTTGTATATTAATCTGAGCTTACATCTGTAT